TATATATATATATATATATATATATATATATATACACTCTCTTTCAATGCATTGACTGTCAGAGGTTCTGAAGGCTTTGCCAATTCACAGCTGTTAGAGTCTGGCTCAATAATTCACGGCTTTTTTCCAACAACAATTTCTCTCATTAACAAATAGACAAAGTGCAAATATTTGGTAATAGGCAGACAAATATATGTATATGTATATATTTATTTGCTGTATAAATGTTGGAATTGTGAAATTTCGCAATGCATAAATGTATTTATTCTTGATATTAGCAAGCAGACAAATGGCAATTGATGAAGGTAGATATATACATATATGTATATGCATGATGGATTTCTTAAGACAGCTGAAGAGAAAAGAAAATCTTATTAAATTTGATCAAAAACACTTTGATTAATTGTCTATGTAGAAATAAGAAATTCCATAAATTCTAGCTTTCAACGATAAATATATTGCAATAAGTCACATTCATATTTCTTATGACAAGTTTAAATTAAATTTAAGCTCCAAACATATGTTAATTGGTTAACATATGAGTTAACACAGGTCAACAAAGTTCAGTAGGCAAGTCTATTGAATGATTTCACAATTTTCAATGAATTTAGTACCATCGAAGGAAGTTACTAAGTTCTATTAGAAATAAACAAGGCATGCTCGTTCTTCTTATGTTTTGTTGGCATGTGTAATTGTAGCTCATAGCTGAGATTCCCTAAACTTATTCGCTTGGCTTGTACTTCTATTTGGCAAATCTATAATATTCTTTTAATACTTAGTAAATAATAACTTCGTATTCGTATGCACGCTCAAGTTCTTAGCCACTTTAGACGCATTCAGATGGGCTAACATCCAACCACCCATTTGCACTTAAAAAGTGCCGATGTACATTGTCAACGATGACCTTCAGAAGAACATGGAGCCATTACATTTAACATGCAGCCATTACTCATTACGATAGCCCCATCGGGCAATTGCATAACATCGCGTCGATCTACACGGTTGCGACAGGGCTTCATTATCGTCATGAATGACGCGGCAGAACATGGCGCATTAAATATAAAAGTACCGTTACAATTTGTCATAGGTAAACCCATCAAATTACGAGCCCAAACATGTTAGATACAATCTATATGCAGTCCAATACTCAGAGGTAAATATCACATCATGCTATGGGAGAAATGCAATCAGTCAGCATTTCCTCTATATTCAACATGGGAATTGTTGTTAGATAAATTATATATATTAGATAGTAATATATTAATGTTAATGTATGTATGTAATGTAATGAGATCAAGTTTTGTTAAAGCTAAAAGTTGCATATTTAAATTCTAGGTCTTCTCTTTTATGTATATCATTGCAATGGGTTCTCAAGGCGCTGATTCATTGCCAATGGCCAGACGTTGCTGTTGTTGTTGTTTAATTTGTAATTAGAATGTGCCGCAGTGCTTTTTAATTGCCCTGCCCTGGCCCTGCCCATGGCGGGCCGCAACTCGCAGCTCGCATTAATTGTGCTTTTAGGGTTATCATGCTCTTTCAGCGGCAAAAACCTTGCCTCGCTAGCGCCCATGGATGAGGTCAACTTAGCCATGTTTTTATGACGCTTTACGAGGCATTGTTTAGTTCCGTATGCAGCATATCTTTCAGCTGCAATCTAGAATGGCTAAGAGTTCAAAGTTAGCCTAGAGCCGGCCAAAGGTTGGTGCTATTAAAAAATAAATAAAACGTTGTCGCCTTCAAGTTGAAGGCAGCCAATAAGGCATTTCTATTTGTCATTCAAACATGCAAATGAAAAACCAATTGAAATTCAAAGCAATTGATGGACAAATTATTATGCAATTGCGCTTAAAAGGCCAGGCAATTAGCACGTAATATTCGGCGGTGTCTTGGGCTAGAAAGTCTAACCAATTATTTATTACGCATACGCCGCGTTGACCCCAGCGACTGGGCACATTCTTGGAGACTGAACCACTGAGCCAGCCACATTTGCATACGAATAAGATTTTTTTTTTTTTAATAAATTTCAGTCACGTTTTAGCGCTTGCTGTGACTTTGATTTGTTGTTGTTGTTGTAGTTGTTAAAATTGGTCAATTTCGCAATAGTTATTTTGTTTTTATTTTATGTTTTTTTTGTTTTTGTGTTTGTTATTTTGTATTATTATTTTGTTTGGCTGCCAACTGAATTTTGGGCCAGTGTCAATGCGGCTCTTGTAGTCGTTGATTATCTTCGACTCTCTTCGCTTGCCAGCTCTTAAGGTTAATCAAACGTTTTGTATGCTCTTTACACTGGTTGACTCCGACGCTGGCAGCGCTGCCCGTGCGTCTGTGTGCGTGTGTGTGTGTGCGTGTCTCTGTGTGCATTGACCTTGAAATATTTGTGGTTATTTTTATGCTTTTCGAAGATCTCTTTTGACAATTCCTCAAATTGTATCATGTGTAGTACGTATGTCCATATCTGTACTACGTGGCCCCACTATAAAATTTATATTGTTTTTCGTGTTTTTTCGTTGCCAATTTTCGGCATTTATTTGCCTCGAGAGTGAATTGTTAATATTTATGGAAGCTTCTAGTCGAGGCGCCTACAGTCCAGTGTTAATTTTCGCACAGGGTCACACATAAAATAAAAATGCATTTTGAAAAATGATATATGAGCGATATGAGGCGATCACGTTCAATCTAATAAATAAAAATGTTTTGCTCTTAGGAATTTCGGTCATTGCACTTTGACAACAGCAGCGAGAAATGCGTTTCAAATAAATTCAAAAGAATTAAAAATATTTGCATACGTATATGAAAAATAATCAACAAATTTTACTGTTGACATATTTGCTGTCTGCTAAAAGTAAACTGTGAAATAAAAACTGGCTCACCGGCGTCACTGGGGCGACGTCTTGATGAGGCTGATGCGATTTATATGGCCACTAATTCATCATTTCGATCATAATTCAGTTGTTGAGGCGACAGGCGATGACAAAATTGCGAAACTTGAGCTATGAAGAAGATGATGAATGTCAAATCTAATCAGAATATAAAATTGTGATTTTTTTTTGTATTAACTCTAAGCTGCTATAATCATAGGCATCTCCTCATGACAATATCATATTTCTTCCAGAGCGTGATCATAGCCGATGGCTCGGAACAGTTTAATCGCTTTATAAAGCTACCACAGCCGTTGAACTTTAAGGTCTACATATTTAATGTCACGAATCCCGATATGATACAGCAAGGTGCCATACCAATTGTCGAGGAGATTGGACCGTATGTCTACAAGTAAATAGAGACAGTACCTATACCTATACTTATACTAATTAAATCTTTCCCACTATCTCCCTAGACAATATCGTCAGAAGAAGGTCAAGCACTTCTCGCGAGATGGCTCCAAGATTACCTACGTGCAGAAGGTGCACTTCGATTTCGATGAGGATGCATCGGCGCCCTACACACAGAGCGATCGCATTGTGGCGCTCAATATGCACATGAATGTGAGTGTGAATGTGTTTAGATATGTGCGAGATATATATCTGATGCAAATCGATTGAGTTATGCCTATTGTGTACTCGAATGTTAATCCTTTGACACATTTTACAGGCCTTTTTGCAAGTATTCGAAAGAGAAATCACAGATATCTTACAGGGTTTTGCAAATAGATTGAACTCGCGATTGAATCGCACGCCCGGCGTACGAGTCTTAAAGCGTCTGATGGATCGTATTCGCGGGAAACGTAAAGTAATTTTATTTACTACTAATTCTATAGAGCCACAGCCAAATACATATATATAGATACATATATAACAATACTCACAATGGTAATGGACTAAGAGACCTGCCCAAGACTGTCGTCTATGGGCATAGGTCAATGTTGTTTCGGTTTCGCTTTTAACTTTATGCGTTTTGGGTTGATTGAAGCACAAATAATCAAACATTGACCCAAATGGCCGGTGTTTGCCTAGAGTCTGTATAAGTCTGTTTGGGCAATTGGTAATGGATACATACTCAGATATGATCTGCGCATGCTTTTAATTAAACCACTATATTGTTCTTACTGAAGATGGGTCAGCCGATAAGCGGGTATCAATTTCATTCATCACCGTGATGGTTATTAATTTCTGATTTGACCCCAGACATGCGTTAAGTAATTAAGCTCTTAATCTGATTGATGAGCCTGCTCAAAGCCGAAGAGTTTGAGTTAGGTCAGTAATGAGAATGGGTAACGAAGAAGAAGAAGAATGGCTGGATAAATAAAACAATAATTCGATAACTACTAACACACCTTGACTTTTGAGCCTCCAGCTAGAACTGTTGGCTTAAAGGTCGCGCATTGTTTTTCATGGTAACTAATATTAATATTAATAAACTACAACAATTATAGCGCCCTTTAGCTGGGTTAACGGCATCTTAGTCAGCCTTATTGAAGATGTCAAAGTAAGTTAATCTTGTCGGCTCTATCTACATACACGTACTATGTGCATGCCTCGTAGTATCCGCTATGCTCATTAAATCCAAGTACACGCACATACATATATCATATTGATTGGCATGAACCTTGGCTGTGAATACTTTCCACGATTGTAAATATTTTGATAAATCGAAATTGAAGTTTGAATGAAATTGATTCGCTGCAGCTGTCAGTCAGCTAACGAACATACATACAGATACAGATATACATACATACATATATATGTGCATGCTTTAATAATTAATTATGTTAGTTTATATGCCTGCTAACTTGGCTAAGCATTAACTAACCCGACACGCCTGCCTTAATGCGCCTCCGCCTATCCCTTTTGCTAATGCTTGCTGCCCCGCCTTCGCCTTCGCCTTCGCCTCCGCTGCTGCCTCTGGCTTTGCCTGGCTTTTGCATACGTTTGCATGCTGCATCCGACACTTAACCTTGGATCTGCTCTCTTTGCAGTCGGTGCTGCAGATCGGCGAGAATGACCCGGGTCTGGCGCTGCTGCTGGTGCACCTGAATGCCAACCTGAAGGCTGTCTTCAATGACCCGCGCTCCATGTTCGTCCACACCTCGGTGCGCGAGTACCTGTTCGATGGGGTGCGCTTCTGCATCAATCCCCAGGGCATTGCCAAGGCCATTTGCAATCAGATCAAGGAGAGCGGCTCCAAGACGATACGTGAGCAGAGCGACGGCAGTCTGGCCTTCTCCTTTTTCGGACATGTGAGTACTCAATGACAGCCAAATGGAATCGTTAGACTTAACTGGCTAACTTTTTGTGTAACCTGCAGAAAAACGGCTCTGGCCACGAGGTCTACGAGGTGCACACGGGCAAGGGCGACGCCACGAAGGTGCTGGAGATCCAGAAGCTGGACGACTCGCACAACCTGCACGTCTGGCTCAACAGCAGCAACGAGGGCGAAACCTCGGCTTGCAATCAGATCAATGGCACCGACGCCTCCTCCTATCCGCCATTCCGGCAGCGCGGCGACTCCATGTACATCTTCAGCGCGGACATCTGTCGCTCCGTGCAGCTGTTCTATCAGTCGGACATACAGTACCAGGGCATACCGGGCTTCCGGTACTCCATAGGCGAGAACTTCATCAACGACATCGGACCCGAGCACGACAACGAGTGCTTCTGCGTGGACAAGCTGGCGAACGTGATCAAGCGCAAGAATGGCTGCCTCTATGCGGGTGCACTGGATCTGACCACCTGCCTAGGTGAGTGACCGATGAAGTAGAGGCATAGAAGCGTAGATTTATTGCTTGCCCACCTTCTTTAGACAACCGAGAACTGCTCTATATGTAGCACACCTCTCCTACTGCCTAATCGTCTTACATTATCAAATGTGTTGAGATGCCGTGCGACTATCTTAATGTATGCACATTAATTTGATCGCCTAACTAGACTCGAATAGACTCGACTATGCTAGACTTCTATATCGCTTTGCCTAAATTATCCAAAGTGTATATCCACTTTAAGTGCCCATATATTTATGTCTATAAAATATACATTTGACAGCTTTTTGGTTTTTTTTTCGTGCTTCACAGCATTTTATCTGTTATGCTAACGACTTTTCGGGCCATTAGTATGGGCATTTATGAGACCTCCCCCAACGAGTTAAAACTGTTTAATTTCCTAGCTAATTATCTAATCGTGTTTGTCACAGTCGAACTTAAGCGAGATAAAACTATTTTCAGCTGGGCCATAAAATATGTAGAGCTATCAGGTTGGGGTTATGAGATAATTTATGCAAAGGAAATCCAGAAAATCCGGAAATGCTCAACGTATGCCTGTTTACGCGCCCAACATGTTTGCTTAGCTATTGATAGAATATCCGGTTTCATATGCAAATCATTAGCCATCTATATACACATATTTCGGTATATATTTGGAGCTCTAAATCAATTGTCACTTCTATAGTTTCGAGTGTTCAGTGTCTCTATATCAAATGCAAATTTGAACAAGCTCAAGTCTTCTTTTCTAGGTGCAAAACGCACAGCTCATCAAACTTAATTTATGCGCTCGCCAATCAAATCGTCATTAAAAGCCGAATAACAAATTCTTTTGAAGCATCTTAATGCCAATTTGAAACTGCTTTTATTTCTTTCATTCATTTATGAATTCGATCTTTGCGCATGCGCAAACAGAACAAAAACAAATTGCAGTTTTAATTGTGCGTGGGCTGAGCTAAATCTTTTGATCTTTATTTCAATACACTAAGAATATGAAGTTTTTTGTTTCGTATAATGATCTGAGAGAGTTTGTAATACATAAAACCTTACATAAAGTCCTGTTTGCATTCTTATTTGTGTGAACAGAAAAACATTTGCTATTAATGAGAGAACTCAAGTAAATGGAATTTTAATTAATAGTTTTTATTCCAAGACGACAGCAGCTGTTAGGAATTATGGAGATTTTCGACTTAGGGCGTGTCAAGCGTGAAAACACTATTTTTCATAAGATTTCAGGTTGAGCAAATATTTTATAGTCTAACCAATAATTTGTTATAAATACCATTTAGCCACGCTTATCTAATAGCCAAATATAAAAGCTGAGAGTGTCTTACAGCAAGCCACACATATTTGAATTAATGTTTCGCTGCTCGACAAATCTATTGGTTTATAAGAATATATTCATAATGATTCAATATACACACATAATATGTATATAAACTATATGTTAATATATATTAGTTATATGGGAGTCCGATAAATCCACTAACAACTATATAGAAACGAGGCTAGGTAGGCTGATAATCTTCTTTATTTTCTATATACTCTGATGCCTTATATTATATTATATTGCAATATATTCGAATTCTGCCACAAATAAATTCTGCTCTTACCTGTTACTCTGAAAACCTGTCAAGAGATGATATTCAATTCAATATTTTGTGGCAATAGAGAAACATTTTAATCAGGAATAATTAAATAGCTATGGAAGAATAACAGATTGTATATATATATAGCTGACAGAGCTTAGATACTAAATTGCTTATTGAATACACATATATTATTTAAATTACATTTGCCTTAGTCTTTACCTTATAATGAGCTTTGCCTGTGAGAGCATTAACTATTTACTATTCCTTTCGATGACCAGCCATATTCATCTGGCCGTTGTCCATTGCTCTACAGCTGCGTCGTTTATTGACCCATTCCAACTCGCATTTATTGTTAATTTCTTAATTAACACTTCGGAACAAGCAGCTGCAAAAAAATGGATGGAACAGAGGAGCAGCAGAGCAGCAGCCATAAGAAGATAATTTGTATTGCGCATTTGAAATGAAAAGTGTTGATGGGTTGGTTTTATGGCTTCTGAAGTGCTCATCGGCTCATTATGATCTTCTCGAGAGGCGCTCTACAAATTGAAGCATTAAATTCCACATTCACATATTTATTATGATTATTTCTTATTTTGTTTGGGTGTTTGCCCGTTTGCTCGACGCACGTTTCAGCCAGATTCACAGATTCTTGTCTCGCTTTAATTGGCAAAACGTGAGTAAACAGTTTCAGTAATGAGCAGCATTTGGTAATGCTTGTCTGTGATATTCGCCATGCTGCCCACCAAATGAGGAAACTCTCGTGCAAATTGGTCCAATGCTAATACTAAATAAATAAATAAATATTTCATAAATAAACGTAGACGTTACTTCCGTGCTGAAAGAATTTTATAGCTGCCCAAGAGTTATTGAAAACATGGCCAAGTCGTGGGCTGCCTGCCTCGGTCTGGCTTACACTTCCATTGAACTTCACTGAGTATTAAGATATTTCGAACATATAGATATTTTGTATATTTTTATTACACGCTTCTCGAATAATCCTGTTTTCTTGCGCGTGTTTTGTAAACAATTTTAACGGCTTCATTGGCATTTTAATTCAGTTTCGATGCAAATCTCAAAGTCATACAATGCTCATCCCATCTCATGGCAATTATTTTACATTACAGATGCGCCCGTCATACTGACGCTGCCTCACATGCTGGGCGCTTCGAATGAGTATAGGAAAATGATTCGCGGCCTCAATCCCGACGCCAAGAAGCATCAGACCTTTGTGGACGTGCAAACGGTAAGTGGATCCTTGAACTCTTGTTAATTGTTTATTGCAATTTATAATAAATTATACAATTATATATTAATATTAATGAAACAGCTGACGGGCACGCCTCTGCAGGGCGGCAAGCGAGTGCAGTTCAATATGTTTCTGAAGAGCATTAATCGCATTACCATCACGGAGAACCTGACGACTGTGCTTATGCCGGCCATTTGGGTAGAGGAGGTGAGTGAAGTGCTGTCCAGCTCACCTTCGAGCACAGCCTATACTATTTACTTTTACAGGGTATTCAACTGAATGGCGAAATGGTGCAGTTCTTCAAGAAGAAGCTCATCAATACGCTGAAAACTCTGGACATTGTGCACTGGGCGGGCCTGTGTGGCGGCGTGGGCGTGGCAGCCTTTGGCCTCATCTACTACATCTACCAGCGCGGCAGACCAGTCAAGGAGCTCGTCAAGTAGGCAGAGGCCGAGCCAGAGCCAGAGCCAGAGCTAGAGGCTGCGAGCATCTAAATGTTATAAACTTATTACAGCTCATAAAGAGAAACTACTACTACTATTATTATTATTGTTATTACTATTGTAACACTCGACTAGAATTGCTCACGAATTTTTGTATATAATTTATTGTTTAAATGTGATTTTATTATATTGTGATGTAGCGCGTACTAAAAACTATGTTTAAACTAAAAATACAAATAAAATGAAACGAAAACAGCTTCACTCTCTGTTTCCTAATGGATTCCTTTGGCTATGTGTAAGCTTCCGAAGAACTCAATTAGGCTTTTCTGGGAAATAGAATCGAGTCTATTTAACAAACAACATTTAACCGCAAAATGTGGCTAAAGCTCTTAAATTCACAATTTACACACTCAACAACCATTAGCCTAGCCAAGTTCAAGATCAGCGCGTCGCGAGTGTCAAAGAAATACATAAATTATTCATTTGGTGAATCAATCAATGGCAGTAAAAATTGAGAAGCAACAAAATACAACACAAATAAATAAATATGTTCATTAAATACTATGCGCAACTGCAAATTAAAATAGAGTTGTCTTAAAAAGTTGCTAAAAAAAAAAAATAAACGAAAACAAGAAAAAACCTGTAGATGAGCTTAGGCAATGCGTCGATCGACTGCGGAGGATTGACCAAGTCCAATGAATGCAAACAAATAACAATTGAGATAACCAAGAGACAACAAAAGCGCCAAGGTGTTTGATTTCAATGCGATTGAGACACAGACACCCAGCCCAAAGGGGAGTGGTTGGGCTCGAGTCGCTGGGCCTGTCACTCACTTTGACAGCGCCACTGGCAGGCGTTTAAAAACGCGTCCCAAAAGTCGCGCGTGAGCATCCCCAACCAGTTTTATAAGATCGAAATGTAGCTGTTCTTTATTTAATATATATATTCGAAATTCATTTCATTAGCGAATTTCTAGCTAATGGCCCAAGAAACTTTCACGCATCTAAAACGATCCATTACGTTGCCCGCCCCCAGCGCTCCCCCTTTCCCTAGCTGGGTGGGACACCTTTTAGACAAAGTGTCTGCGCCCGAGAACCTTTCCATTCTATGCCAATGGAGCTGGTCAATAATTATGCAATACGCACACACTCACACGCACACAGACACACACGCACACACTTCATGTGTGTGTGTGCCCCGCAACCAGTTTGGCTTCGCTGTCGTCATACCGCACATATTCAAATAGCCCCAACTTGACTTTTGGCTGGGCTCAAGATGAGACCCGCTGCCACTGGCCCGCTCAGTCGACTACGAAACGCGCTCAGGCACGCAGCGCCCCCCTCGAAGAAGCCTCTGCTTGAGAATATCATTTGAAATTTAAATTTCATTTCAATTAATTTCGTCTCGATTCGGTTCGTGTTCTCTCGGCTCGACTCGGCTAAGGACTGTCTCGTTCTCAGACAATATAGAGCAGCATATATATATAGGGCGCCGAGCTCTGAGTTCTGTGTCAAAGCATCGCAAGATGTTGTCAGTGTCGCGCTCATTCTCGCTGCTGCTGCTCTGCCTGCTGCTGCTGCTGCAGCATGGCTTGGGCAGAGTCTTCGAGCGCTGCGAGCTGGCTGCCCTGCTGCAGCAGCGATACGGAATGCACGCTGCCCAGGCGGCCACGCTGGTGTGCATTGCCCAGCATTCGAGTGATCTGAATACGGCCGCCTTTGGCGGTGGCAGCGGACCGGGCGGCGGTTCGCACGGCATCTTCCAGATAAGCGACGTCTACTGGTGCTCGCCTCCGGGCCAGGGCGCTGGCTGTGGGCTGAGCTGTTCGCGTTTGCGCGACGACGACATTGCGGACGATATCGCGTGCGTGCGTAAAATCTATGCGGAGCATCAGCGCATCTCCGGAGATGGCTTCACCGCCTGGCAGGCGTACAATGCGTACTGTCGCCAGGATGCCGCTTCCTATGTGGCTGGCTGTGGCAACTCCAATGCTCTGCAGGTGGCTGCCTCCTATCAGCAGGCGCAGCACCCGCACCACCACCAGCAGCAGCAACAGCAACAGTTGCAGGTGAGCTATTATCATCAGCAACCGCTGCAGCATCAGCAGGCGCTGGCTCCAGCGCAGAAACAGGGCAAGATCTACAGCCGCTGTGAGCTGGCGCAGGAGCTGTTCTACCAGCACAAGCTGCCCATGCAGCAGATACCCACCTGGGTGTGCATAGCCCAGCACGAGTCCTCCTACAACACGGCGGCAGTGGGTCGCCTGAATGCCGATGGCAGTGCGGATCACGGCCTGTTCCAGATCAGCGATCTCTACTGGTGCACGCACGACCAGCGCGGCGGCAAGGGCTGCCATGCTGCCTGCAATCAGTTCCTGGACACCAGCATCGCGGACGATGTTCAGTGCATACGACGCATCTATCAGGAGCACACACAGATTTCGGGCGACGGATTCACTGCGTGGACTGTCTACAATCGGGACTGTCGCAACCAGCGCTACGAGCAGGTGGCCGCCTGCTTCGCCAAGCCGCCTCTAGTGGCGCCTGCCACGCATCCCAATGCCATTGCCGGAGGCAGCAAGGTCAGCTATGCCTATCCGTTTGCGCAGCCGCAGCTGCTGGCTCCTGCCACGACGCCGAATCCCTACTACAGGCCGACCCACAAGCAGATCACCTATCAAGCCGTACAGGCTGTGTCCAGTTATCAGAGCAATCCCTTCCTGCGCCCTCGCCTGCCCTCGCCCACGGCATACACTCAGTCGCATCCCAATCTAATTGGCAGTCCTGTTAAGTCGCATTTCGCAAGTGTTTATAGCACGCCAGCAACGAATCCTTTGCTCGCCTTCAAGCACCACACAACACCAAAACAACAAATACAGCAGCTACACTATTCATACCAACAACAACAACAACAACTACTACAACACTATTACACAACACCTAAGCGAGCTGGTAAAGTTTATAAACGCTGTGAATTGGCCCAAGAGTTGTATTTCTCACACAAGTTTCCAATGCAGGATTTAGCTACTTGGGTGTGCATCGCAGAGCATGAGTCCCGCCTGGATACGTCGGCGGTGGGGCGACTGAATGCGGACGGCAGCGCGGATCACGGTCTCTTCCAGATCAGCGATCTATACTGGTGCACGCATGGCGGGGGCGTCGGAGGCAAGGGCTGTCACATCGACTGCGATCGTCTACTGGACTCGGATATCTCAGATGATGTCAAGTGCATTCGGACCATACACGAGGAACATACGCGCATCTCTGGGGATGGCTTCACAGCCTGGGCGGTGTACAATCCACATTGCAGAGATCGTAGCCGAGCAGAGATTGCGAGCTGTTTCGAGCCGAGTGAGTTGGAAAAGGAGCCTGCAAAGCCCGTAAAACCAGCATATAATGAACTGGTACGGAAGCCTAAGCCCAAGGGCAAGATCTACAGTCGCTGTGAGTTGGCCAAGGAATTGTATCACAAGCACAAGGTGCCCATGCAAGAGATACCCACTTGGGTGTGCATAGCTCAGCATGAATCTTCCTTCAACACAGCTGCAGTGGGTCGACTTAATGCCGATGGCAGCGAAGATCATGGACTGTTCCAGATTAGCGATCTCTACTGGTGCACACATGGCGAGGGCGGTGGCAAGGCCTGCCACATTGAATGCGATCGTTTGCTGGACTCTGATATTACGGATGATGTGCAATGCATTCGCACTATACACGAGGAGCACACGCGCATATCGGGCGATGGCTTCAACGCTTGGACCGTATACAATGGTCACTGTAGAAACCAAAACTTGGCACAGCTGAGTGATTGCTTTACAGGCAATGAGATTTCCGAGGCGCAGAAGCCCAATCACTATGCGAAGCCACCGAAGACGCCTGTCCCGCAGCATCAGGCTGTTGTAAAGATCGCAGCTAATCATGACTATGGCGCAAATCCATTTCTACAACGTCTGAGCGCAGCACCGACTGCCAGGCCTGCAACAGCCAAGCCCACAACCGCCAAGCCTGTAAAGCCTCCAGTCCATGTTGCTGTAGTGCCCAATCATCCATTTGGCTCGAATCCCTTCTTGCAGTTACTCAAACCTCAGCAGCAACCCGCAGTAGTCAAGCCCGTAGCTCGGCCTGTTGCATTTAGTGGGCAAACAGCTGTATCGAAGACCGAATATAGTCATAATCCCTTTCTAAAACCTTATAATAAACCCTCAACTAGTACTACTCAAACCTCAGTTGCGAATAAGCAAACCATTCAATCTAAACCATCCTCAGCTGTATCAAATACATTCTTGAGTCTTGTTAATAAGCCAGAAGCCGACAAACACAAAATATCCACCACTTCTAAGCCTGTCAAGGCTACGCATCATCCTTATATAAGTAGCGATATCTTTCGACACGAGATTATTAAATTTACGGCCACGTCGTCAGCAGCGACGACAGGTCTGCAACAGTCAAGCACAAAAACAACAGCGATCACAACAAAGCCATCAACAACACACAAAACAACAGCTCACTCCACAACAACCACTATTCGACCCCACACAACAACAGCTCGTCCATTTACCACAATTAGGCCAGCTACTACTTTAAAAGTGACAACTCGTTCGCCAACATCCCGGATACCGACAACAACAGCACGTTCGATAACAACAACACGCCGTGTCACAACAACTAAAGCAGCGAGACATACTACCTCCAAGTCCACAACTCCACATACAACTGCAAAGCCCACAGCTCGTATAACTACAGCCAGATCCACAACGCGAGGCACAACACGAGCTACAACTCGTCCCACGACGCGAGCCACAACGAGGACCACAGCTCGTCCTACAACTAGAGCTACAACGCGTTCCACAACTCGTTCCACGTCTCGACCCACAGCGATAGCCTTAACACGAACCACAGCGAGGACTACTGTTCGGCCCACAACAAGAGCTACAACTCTTTCTACGCCTCGACCCACAAGTCGAACCACAGTGCCAGCCCCAACACGAACCACAGCGAGAACTACAGCTCGGCCTACAACCAGAGCTACAACTCGTCCCACAACTCGAACTACAACCAGGCCTACAACTCGTCCCACAACTCGACCTACAACCAGAGCTACAACTCGTACCACAACTCGTACCACAGCGAGGACTACAGCACGTCCTACAACCAGAACCACAACGAGATCCACGACAACAATAAATCCTGCAACGCGCTCGACGACACGTTTCACGACAGCAAGACCAACCGTGCGCCCAACAACTACAAGATCCACAACACTTTCTACAAAAGCAAGCCACCCTACACGTTCTACAAGTCGCACCACACGTTCCACAACACGCTCTACAACACCACGGCCCACAACACGTTCCACGACGAGAATTACAACACATTCCACAACAGCGAGGCCCACACTACGCTCTACAACAACCTGGCATCCATTTGCAGCAACGCCAACAACAGCTACAGCTCGCCCCAGTCTGAGGACGTCTACCACCTATAGAACCACAACGCGTCCACCGACAACAGCTCGCCCAAGCACCACCATCGTCCCATCGACCACGCCACGACCTTATTTGTTTACCTCAACGAAATCACACACAACCACGTCAACTCGTCGCCCCGCAAGCACTGTGAGGAGTGGTACCACAAAAGATCCATTTGACCATCCATTCTTTGCGAAATTTAAAGCCCAATTCGATGCATTTCGTACGCCGCCATCAACTGTCAGTAAGCCCACCGCGACGTCCAGTTTGACCAACCAATCCAAATTTACTGCCAGCCCGAACTATGCCAAATTTCAGGAAAACAGTGCCAAGGTGGGAGCTAAAACGGTATATGAATACAATTTTGGCCAGAATCGAACAACGACTACGACACGGCCCTACTCGACCAAAACCAGAACAGATCTAAGTTTGAGCAACAAGAATTAGATTTACGGTAGGGTAACTTGTAAATATTGTGTATAATGCGGCTAGTTAGGTTTGTAAATGACAAAATACTCATAAATTATTAATCTTAAGATACATATGTAATTATGATTTAGACAATAAAACTGAAAATAAAATACAAAGAAATGTACTCAAAAATTATTTAAACCAGTCTGAAGACCTGCTGACTAGTTGATGCTTAACGCTGCCAACAACATCGGCCACGACATTAAGTGGATGTTTTTGATTAATTTCATTAACTTGTTTTTGGTCGGGTGTTAGCCTTGTTAACATAAACAGCAACAAAGGCATATACACACGTCAACAATGGCGAATGGCGAGAGACAACAAGTTGTTGTGCATTTCAATTTAAATTTTAATTAATTATTCTTCTTTCAGAATCTTTATGTTCTGTATTTAACTTGACTCCATTCTATTATGATGTCAAAAGTTATTTTAAAATCGATAGTGCCATATTATATTCCCGCCCACATGTCTGGTCTTCTACAGCCCTTATTATCGTTGTGGCGGTTACCGATTGCGAGCACCGTAAATTCGATATGTTGCACTTTATTAACTAAACATTTAGCGCAAATGTGATGTTACAATTTTACATTCCTTAATTAACAATACCCAATATACACAATTAATTGTAAATTATCTATATTAAATATGACGACTGAAATCTGTTTAGTATTTTGACCATAATTTTTTCATTCGTAATTTTTTGTTTGCAGAAGCTGGTCACACTTCTGTAAAAACTAATCTGCTTTCGGTGGACGGTTCGTAAACATTCATTTGTTGATTTTCGGCAATAAAACACAACGTTTAACGTTTAAAATGCGCTCCAGTGAACCAAGTTCAAATGCAAAATGAATTGAAGTGAGTGCCTTTGTCAAATAAGCCACAAATTTTCAAAAACTACTGCAGCCTGTACCAATCAACACCAACATCACTAGCCAGCCGCCAGAAGATAGCAACAGTCAGCAAACGCCCTACTTAGCAACAAATTGCATGCTACACTACATTTTTGAAAATTCTTCATCCCTCATATATTATATTTGTTAAAAAAAAAAAAAACTACGTGTAATAGGTCAAATATTGATACACGAAAATGCGTCGGCAGAACGTGAGAGAATTCCAGGACAGAGAATGACAATTTTTTAATTTGCGTGAAGTCGGCTGTGCGCAATTTGTAACTCGCGTGAAGCTGGCTGCCCCTAACTATCCACTCTCTTGAAGTTGGCCGTACGCAGTTTTTGACTCGCTTCAGAAAAGCTGTACTTATTTTAAGCTGGCAGTGCCTCTGTTTTAAGCGACATCTAGCGGCAGAACATAACGTTTTCAGCGTTGCCTTTTGTCTCGCACTTTTATCGACGTCTGTGCCCCTTGCGCGTTTACTGTCGTTTTGCACGCGCATTCGTGAAAATGGCGGCGTTGTCGCTCGGTCGCTGCCAAATTTTTTGTACATCCAAAATAATCAAAATAAAGCGACAATAAATACAGTGCTAAACAAACTGTCTGTGCCAGAGGCCGCGTGCGCGCGTGTGTGTGAAAATACAATAAAAGAAAAACATTCTGGCCAACAAAAAGAAAATATTTAACATTAATCAGCTAGCGACAAGGAGTTAACGTCGTCGTCGTCGCCAGCGCATCAGCAGCAGCAGCCGCGTGAATAAGCGAGTGCGATTGCAAGAGCGAGCGCTTTTCTGCGGTTGGCGTTTGTCAACGGAGCACCCAAAGGCTTTGGCCAAGGTGAATACGAATATAATTATGCTAAATTAGCATCGCATCGTCTCGTTTGTCGGCTTTCACCTGCGTCCCACACCCGCGGCCCGTCTCTTGCCTAGCAAACATCTGCGGCTCTTTCAAGCGAAAGGAGAAAGAAAAGAAAAAAATCCACGCACTCGCGTTTTATGACCCACAGGTATAACTATGCCACAGCCAGGTAGTGGAAGCAGCTGCAGCCCCGCGAGAGTGTAAAAACGATAATAATAACTTATGTGTAGGTTTTCCGCTATAAATACTAAAGTGAATTAAAATTTGCATTGCAGTTCGCATCGGTCGGCTACGCAGCATGCGAGTATTAGACAGGAGCCGTAATATCCACATCAATAATAATAATAACAATATGGCACAGACGCACAGTTGATCAAGAAACCAGGCGGCTAAAGAACGTCACAAGCAGAAGAGAATCTGGGAAAAAGGGCCGTGTCCATTTCCGGCTCTTCAAGCGCCAACGATTCAAAAACCGAAACCGCCACCGCCACCGCAAAGGTCCCGCAATGAATAGCAGCCAAACGGCGCCGCCGGCCACATCGACTGCCGGCAATCGTATCACCTTCACCACCCAGCCACTGCCCAACGGCACCATCAATATAGGTGGGCCAGGAGGCGGGGGTGTTGGATCGACGATCATCTCAACCGCACAGCTGCCAAATACGACGACGATCAAAACCATAACAGCAGGCATTGGAGGACATGGGGTGCCCGGTCTGTCGCAAGTGCAACATCAGGTGCATCAGCAATCACATCAGCATCAGCAGCAACAGCAGCAGCATTCGCAATCAGTAGGTGCCACCCAAACACAAACCTTAGTTATTAAATCCAATCACCATGCTGTCACCCTGCCGGCGGGTCTAGTATCAAGTGCACCAGCAGGAATCGTAACAATGACCAAGACCATCAATCAGGTATCCACCATCAAGCTAAACTCCCAACGTACTCGTCTTCTAGTGAGGCGATAGTAGCGCCAGATTCTGATGCAATTCATTTCGCATCTCTTTGCCTGCGTCCAATGGTTATTCCTGTTCCACACACACATATACTCATCCTCACTTTCCAGACTCTCTTCAATCCCTTTTGTTTCCTACTGGACACGATTAGCGTGCCCAATTAAACTGTGATACTTGGAACGTCCAGTAGTGAACAGTGAACTATCGGTATAATGAACGCACGTACTAAATGATTAGGCGCTAAATTCAATTTGTAAGATAATGTGGATAACAATTGGGAAATTTTTAAAATTATATTACAAAATCATGAAAAGAAAGCTTCTTTGTGGTTAATTAGGCCTTTGTATTGACTGTTCACTGTATTCAAAAATTATAAATATTATATATATTTGTTGCGAACCAACTTCCTGTTTATCATTATTTATTACAAAAAAGAAAAATCTATTTTTCTCTCAAACTGAAATTTCACAAATTGTGAATGCTCTGTTCATTGTCATACCAAGAGTAAAAGTTTCCTGCTCCACACTCTATGCTTTTAATTAAAACCCAAATTATGTATTATTTGTAGAGTTGCTCTCTGAACAAATCGCTTTTGAAACGGTCGCTTCTTTGTAGTAAAACTGTAGACGACTTTCGAATTGGCCAGCACATATATATTAAATAATATTCTCATCTCATAATTTTTAGTAGGCAATCTCATATGTTCCATCTAAATTTTAAATGTATTTGATACACACACATTCTTCCATGCACATTTGTTTGACTGTGATCCGTGAAAGAATGAACTGTGACTCACTGCGTGACTGGACGCAACCTCTCTGATCTGCTGCATGTTGTAGTCAAAACATAACAAAAAAAATCCAAAATGAACTCTATCAAAGCTTTTGTATGCCGCCTATAGAAACTCAAATATCTGAAATGTATATTGCAATTGTTGTTCTAATCCTTGCTCCATCCACAGACCGGGCAGCCGCTGCTTAACTCTATGCTGCCTGCCGGCGTGGTGGTCGGCATGCGTCCGCAGGCGCCGACGCAGCAGCAGCCAAAGAATATGCCCGCAAATTCGCTCAGTCGTGTCGTCATCAGCAACTCTCACATGGGTGGCGTTAGGCCACAGAGTCCATCGGTAAGTGTGCACACTGAATGTTAAATAGAAGAATGCGTGTATTTGTAAGTTTTGTTGTTGTGGTGGGCTCTTCTCTACTAATCCACAAGGCTCCCTAATACAGCGCACACTCTCATGCACCCAAATATCCCTCCCAAACCAAACACTCACACACACACACATACACATCTGTACATATACATGCATTTATATCAGCGGGTACCCCTTGTACTTGAACTTTTCTCTGTCTATTCTCTCTATTTATCTCTCTATTTTAGATAACTTTAGGCCCACTTAATACAGTACAAACGCCTGCACTGTTAGTGAAAACGGATAATGGATTTCAGTTGTTGCGCGTGGGCACGGCCACATCGACGGGCCCGCCGACGATGACACAGACCATATCTAACACCAGCAACAACAACAACAACAGCAGCAACAACAACAATAATAATAATAACAACAACACCACAACAACAACCACAAATCATCCCATAACCACACAGATACGTCTGCAAACTGTGCCGGCTGCAGCTGTAAGTAGATATCATGGCCAATCGTCATCACAACAACAGCAACAACAACAACAACAGCAACAAACGCAGCTGCAGCAACAGCAACAACAGCAACAGCATCAAACAACAACACAAGCATCCTCGCAAGCAACTACTGCCAGCACTAGCATTGCACTGCGCAAAACGATTGTCCGTACATCATCCACAATCCTCCCATCCAGCAATAATAATATTAATAATATCACCACCAATACCACCACCACAACCACTACCAACAACAACAACAACAAACCCGCTACTAACTTGCATCAGCAGCAACAACAGCAGAAGCTACAGCTGCAAATGAAGCAGCAGCAACAGGCACAGCAGCAACATAAGCAACAGCAGCAGCAGCAACAGGCCTCTGCCAGTGCCAACAGCGCAGCCGCCGCGGCAGCCGCTGCTGCAGCGGCAAATGTCGCAGCCACAATTAAGATCAAGCAAAACGTAAAAATCAAAGCCTCACTTGTATTGAAATGAGAATTCTCATATTCTCAATATTTTTCAATTTGCTCTATATATACTTATGTATTCTCTAAAACGCCTCTCTCTTGTCTGTTTATGCATTTGATCTGTTTTTTAACGCTACGCTTCAGTTTTCGATTTTGTTTAGACTTTCGGCTAAACTTCGAGCACTCGACTGTTCGATTGTTCGCCAAACTTTTTCGATTTTCATTTCAACATATCTTATACAATATATAAATATGAATATAAATATATAATAATCGTACTTTTGCTCAGTTTTGCATGCTGCGTTGTAACTGTCTGTGTAATTGACTTTGACGTATTCTTTTGATTTAGTTTTTTATACGCTGCGAAAATGCGTTGCTGTTCGTAAAAACAATCATCGAACTCTATTATATCATTTAGGAAATAAGCAGCATAGTTATCATGAACAAGGCATCAGAGGTTATACGGGCTTCGCAGGGGCGTGTGTGTTATTTACCACCAACAAATTAATAGATTTTTCTAAATCTATTTTGTAATTACTTGAACAATTTAAGAATATTTTTTGGCGTTAACTGATGTGGTATTTCCTTATTAATCACATGACCTCAATAACTGACCCGAACACTACTTGCACTCATTCCACACACACGCACACACTCCCACTAATAGGAGCCCGTAGCCCATGAGCGCCTGCATAAGAATCATTGAACTATTTTCTCGTTTTAACTTACCGCTTATCGCTCTTAATTTGCACTGACTGCTCATAGTATGTTGGATTGATTGATTGTTAATCTGTAATATTTGTTTCAACCACAGTCGATGACCAGCACCACCGCCTCCAGCAACATAATTGTCAACTCGGTGGCCAGCAGCAATGCGCACAGTTTCAGCAGCTCGTCACATCCGCCACAGTTGGCGCAGTTGCAGCAGCATACGCCGCATTTGCCCCAAGTAACGCAGATCCAAACGATACCAGCCGTACAGCCGCATTCGCAGGCAAACAATGTCCAAGCGTCATCGACAGCGAATGTGACGTCAACGGCGAATACGAACTCAACAACAACGTCAACGGCAGCGCAGGGCAATACCAAAGAAAAGTGTCGCAAGTTTTTAGCCAATTTAATTGAATTGTCGACACGCGAACCGAAGCCGGTGGAGAAAAATGTACGCACGCTCATCCAGGAGCTGGTCAATGCGAATGTGGAGCCAGAGGAGTTTTGTGATCGCCTGGAGCGTTTGCTCAACGCCAGTCCACAGCCGTGCCTCATTGGGTTTCTTAAGGTAAGTAATCCGTCAATCAACTTGATTCTTTGCTTTAGCTAATTTGCTGTACCATCTACAGAAAAGTCTGCCACTGCTGCGCCAGGCGCTCTACACCAAGGAACTGGTCATTGAGGGCATCAAACCGCCTCCGCAACAAGTGCTGGGATTGGCCGGACTTCCGCCGCAGCTTCCGGTAAACATCCCTAATGTTCATATAATCAATCAAATATCAATGATCCAACATAATCTCTTGACAGAAAATACAAGCGCAAATCCGTCCGATTGGACTCAGCCAGACAACAACCATTGGACAGACGCAGGTGCGAATGATAACACCAAACTCACTAAACACGCCGAGGCCGACGATAGGTCATACGACTATATCGAAGCAGCCGCCAAACATTCGATTGCCCACAACGCCGCGGCTGGCCATACGGGGTCAAATGCCCTCGCTGCCAATGTCCGCGCAGGCGGTAAGCATAGAGATTAATTGTGTTCTTGGCTGAACCTAGTATGCTCATCAGCACTTCTCACACCTTCACAGAACATTGTACAGATACGCGGACCGCATAACGCACAGCTGCAGCGAACGGGTGCGGTTCAAATACGCGCCACATCTCGTCCGCCAAACAGTACGCCCACGAACAAAGTCACTGCCGTCAAGGTTGGCCAGACACAGATCAAGGCCATAACGCCCAGTTTGCATCCGCCCTCGCTGGCGGCCATATCATCAAACAGTGGACCACCGCCAACGCCGACGTTATCAGTGCTATCGACGATAAATTCGGCATCGACAACGTCGTTGCCGGTGCCTTCGCTGCCCACAGTACTTCTGCCGCCGGAGGCATTGAGGGCACGCGAGCAGATGCAAAATTCGCTGCATCACAACAACAACAATCACTTTGAGCCAAAGCTGGTGGAGATTAAGGCACCGCAGCTGCCGCATATGGAACGTATCAATGCCTCGCTGACTCCCATTTCGGCCAAAACACTGCCGCGTAGTGCGTTGCCCGTGGCCAACAAGTCAGTAAGTAAAAAGAAAAGGGATACAGTGGACCGAGATGGCAAGGATGAGAAGGCGAATAGCGGCAGTGGGATGGCAGGATCAACAGCGGCCGCAGCCGCCAATTCATTTTTCCAACAGAGCTCTATGTCATCGTCCATGTATGGCGATGATGATATCAACGATGTTGCCGCCATGGGCGGTGTTAATCTGGCCGAGGAATCGCAACGCATTCTTGGATGTACCGAAAATATTGGCACACAGATCAGATCCTGCAAGGACGAGGTGTTTCTCAACCTTCCAGCTTTGCAGGCGCGAATACGCGCGATAACGGCGGAGCGCGGCTTAGAGGAACCTTCGCAAGATGTGGCAGTGCTCATTTCGCATGCATGCCAGGAGCGGCTTAAGAATATTGTGGAGAAGTTGGCTGTGATAGCGGACCACCGCATTGATGTCATAAAGGTGAGATAGGATTTTCACTGCTCGCCCATACAGCTCTCAATAAATGTATTCACTTCACAGTTGGATCCACGATATGAGCCCGCGAAGGATGTGCGCGGTCAAATCAAGTTTCTAGAGGAGTTAGACAAGGCTGAACAAAAGCGACACGAGGAGCTGGAGCGAGAGATGCTGTTGCGAGCGGCTAAGTCTAGAACCCGTGTCGAAGATCCTGAGCAGGCAAAAATGAAGGCGAGGGTAAGATCGAGTGATCAATTAAATTACTCTGCCATTCTCTAACATACTTCTCTTCATCCAGGCAAAAGAAATGCAGCGAGCGGAAATGGAGGAGCTGAGGCAGCGCGACGCAAATTTAACGGCTTTGCAGGCAATCGGACCACGGAAAAAACTCAAACTGGATAGCGATGCGGCCGGTGTGGGCGTGGTGAGTAACATCAGCTTACCAGCGACCATTCCATTGCTTACTCAACAAACTTGGCGTCTGCTCTACACACACAGGGTTCCAGTGGCAGCGGCTTGATGAGCAACACGGGTACAGCGACTACAACGTTAAGGCCGCGCATCAAGCGTGTCAATCTGCGTGACATGCTCTTCTTCATGGAGCAGGAGCGAGAGTTTTGTCGCAGCACGATGCTGTTCAAGACTTACCTCAAGTGATTGCTGCTGGCGCCGCTGTTGTTTACACACCTACGCACCTACAAGAGTTCACCTGCGCCTGTCCCTACTCCAACTCCAACTCCAACTCCCGCTCCAGCTCCATTTCCAGCTATAATTGTTCTATTAGCGCCTAGCAGCTGCGTTCTTCAATTTGCAATATTATTTAGCTGTCACATTTAATTGCGTCGTCCCTTTGTTGTTTTAGTTAGGCGCCCTATTTCAATACATATGCGTAGAAATACCAACTAAATTGTAATTAAAAAATTTTAAATCTGATGACAATTCGTTTTCCAATTAAATAGCCAGCAGCACTCAAACCAAACCAATCCAAAAAAAAAGAGAGAAGCAAAAAAACCAACACAAAGCAAAAGCAAAACTCAACGTGCAGTCAGCCAACGTATGATTTTGTAATTTTTAACACAATTAATTGCATTAATTGCATTGACGGCCTTATCTAAACGATATACATATAAATAATATGATTAAATTGTGTAGCTTAGTTTGTTAAACGAAATCGAGCGTAAATTATAGGCTTAAGTTAGATTGCGGCATTCGAGTCCGAGGAACATAAAATGGTTTATAAAACCATCATGGCATATAAGCGAATAAAAAAGAAAGAGGAAGAGAGAATACAATTATAAACAAAAGGAGAAATATCCACATAAAGCATACATTGAACTAGTTGTAGTTGTTTAAACAAATTGATGTAATTTTAATTAGATTATGTATAAAACAATTACCAGAAACAAACGATAACAGAACACATTTGTAAAAAGTCCAGACTAAGTTTTCAATAGTTTAACTAGGTAAACGCAACGTAATTAACAAATTTACGGCAAAGAACTAAACCCCGAACGTAGTTTTAGGCACTAAAAATATGTTTTTTTTATATATTAGTGGCGCGTTCGTTCAACCAAATCGGAATCATCAATAAAAATGACAAAACTAATAAAACTTCTGACTTCCCATTTGCAATGGGTACAGGGTATGAAAATCGATGGATTATGTGCATACTGTAATATTTTGTTCAATTGAAAACACTTGCACCAGCCACAAAATAGTTCAATTTTATACAAAAGAAAGAATGAAAAACAAAAAAACAAAATTGTAAATTACATTGAAATCGGACTAAGTATATTAAATAAAAAAGCAAAACAAATTTAAATTCTGTGTGTGTTACAATATGATTATGCAAAAAGGTAATAGAAACCGGCAAAACCACAGACGTAAACAGCGCATAGTTTAGTAGTCATATAACTAAATATATTATTATATACATCTATAAATATATACATACATATTATGTTTTACAATTAATAAATACAACAAACCTATTGTATGTATAAACTAAGTTCAAAATGAGAAAAACTAAAAAAAAAAAAAAATCAACAACAAAACAAAACACAACAAAAAAATAAAACAAACTTAAAAAAACCTAAACATTATTGCCGAAAATTAATCATGGATGTTGGACGTTGAGAATGTGTAACGGTATCTCAGTTAATTAGCTAGTTAATTCATTAAATTGTATGTAGATAAATTTACCAATTTTTTTATTACTATATTTTGTATTCATTTAATTAATATATTATTATTATTATTATTATCATTAACACATAATAAAACCAAATGGACATTTGGACCCAAATTATTTGCCCACTGTTAGATGCCAAGGAATCGGAATTATCTTTTTCATTTTAAAATTTATTATACATTTTCAGTTCAAGTGGAAAGTCTTTAGTTAAGAATATAAAACATTGCTCTAGTTTTTACCATAGTTATAGCCATTAACTTTATTATTGTTTCATTCATTATTATCAACATTTGCAATTACCTACTGTGACGGCTAATTTGATCATACGTGTCTAAGTGATATCTTCCCTTCTTTTCTGTATACATTTAGTTTTGCTTTTCTGCATTTTTATTAAATTCTATGAATTTTAAGTGTAATTACGCCCCCGATGCGGCGGCGCCTGCTTCTTCATCAGCTCTGGCATACTTCAAATACTCCTTGATATCATAATCAAACAGATCAAAGTCGTATCTAAGGATGGAGAGAGAATCAATTAATACGGGCTCTGACTCAGTTCAGCTCCGTTAGGCATTGCGCTTACTGGTAATAGTTGTAGAGCTCCAGCATCTCTTGCTTGGTCAGCTGGGAATAGAACTGCTGCTGCAGCTCCTGGGTCTTTCTGCCTCCTTTGCCCATGTTGCGCCACACGGGCGCTATGACACGCTGGAGGCCAGTCTTTTCAATTAGATATAGTTGATCCTCTGCCAGCGACTCGAACTTCAATATCATATCGAACCGTATGAGGCAGGGCGTGCAAAACGATGTGGCCGAAACGAAGTGCATGTCTATGTAGTTGCCCCGCTTGACCTGATCGAGCAGCCAGTGCACAAACTCCGGAAACGAAGGGTACTTTGTGTTGCCCGCTCGTGAGACCAGCTTGGGCTGCAAGTAGCGAATGGAGAACATCAATTTTGGTTATATTTACTGGTATTCCACAACTGCTGTTACCTTCTTGCGATAGTTACGCACAATGCTGCGACCCAGTTTGTCGTGAAAGGAATAGGGCAGAGCGAATACGATCTTATCTCGATAGGCGCTCAGAAGTCTCTCAAAGGGATTTCTGGCTATGATAAACGTAGTCGAATCATTCTGCGCCTCACGTAACTGCAATGCGAATTTATGAATGTAGAAAGCTTTATATTTCATCGAAAACTGTCTCACCTCTTGCAGAGTTACGCGTGGATAACGCTCCCTGGCCAAATTGAGCAGAATCTTCTTGGTCTTTAGCAAATAGTTGGGCGTGTAGCCAGCCAGCACATTGAAATTGAACATCCAGGACGAGGAGGCCGCCTTGAACACATTGCACCTGCAAGAACACACACACACGCACAAATTTAGACGGTACCACGTCAAAGCTCCGTCAAAGCTCCCTTACCATATAATATGATATTTTTTATTAACCAAAAATTCCCAAGTGTTGGGCGTGTGCCAGGTATCCTGGCCTATAATAAAAATATAAATATATCTTAGCCGTAAATTGTTTTAGCCGTGTCTACTCACCCACCACATCCAGCCCGAACTCCGAACACTTTTCCTTCAGTCTATTGAGTCGCGCCTCCATGCGCTGCATATAAAATTTATATGAATATAACAGTTAAGCAATGCATATTAAGGTATGGCCATAGGGGTATTGCTAACGGCACCTACCACGGACATTTCCTGCATCTCCTCCGGGGAAAGCGACTGTATCGCATACTCGGGTATGAGCGAGAGGCCTGTTTCATTGTTGATCTGCGTGGAAATAGTTGGGAGTGTGTGAATAAATGAGGCATTGATGAGGCGCCGGCAGCAAACACTTAATGACTATACAAGCAAATACAATTCTTTTTTTTTCGGAGGGAAACCCGTGGGGGTAATATGCCCGGCCCAGAAAGAACTGCCAATCATTCATTCATTCATTTGGGCATGGCGAACAGATGAGGCTAAGGAATTTCAATGTGCTCTTCTTTTCTTTTATAATGCACCCATAAATTAAACGCTTGAGTTTTGTTGTGTTTACTTTGTCATTAAGAGTGTGAGAGTGTAGAGGTGTGTCTGTGTCTCACTGTGTTTGTGTGTGTGTGTTAGATATTTACTTTATCAACATAGCGCCACTTATTCTTAGTCTTGCCCGTTGCCACCACGGTTAGTTCCTTGTTTTTGTTCTTGTTCAGCAGCAGGACAGGATAACGAAATGTTTGACCCGCTGGCTGGATTTGCTTTGCCCGCTTTGACTGTGGTGGCTGCTGATGCTGCTGCTGCTGCTGTTGCCGCTGTTGTTGCTGCTGCAGCTGTTTCACAAAAGCCAAAAAAAAAGCATTTGCATTTCACATTTACTATTTTAGTGAGGGTTACAGAAAGAACGGTAGGTTAAATGCAAACATGACGTGGCGTATGCGTAATATACAAGCGTTTTCGTTTCATGATTTCTCAGCAGAAAGCAGCCTAATATAAATGTATTAAAGCAGAGCCCAAGTGACACCAGCGATACCAGTGATAGCAGTGATACCAGTGACACCACTGGCACCACAGAGCGCACCACTGACTCATGTCATATGGCATGCCAGTGTCAAGGTGGCCTCAACGAACCCAATTAATATGCCAGTGGGCAGCTCTGTCAACTGGCATCATTATAAATCTAGATGATTGTTTAGCGGATAGACAAATGCTCGGCAGGCATTGTGGCTTGTGTAAGAATACCCTGTAGTAGTCGAATTGTTGCGGTTTATATTCAGTATTTACACTATTAAAAGCTGAATAGAGAACTATGCTAGCATATAACTTGGATTAATAACTGGAAAGCTATTTATGAAGAATATTACATGCATATTTATACAGTTTTGTTTTATAAATTATATTCTATATATATAATATTTCTTTTTAAATTATTTATATTTTGTACTACTCCAATAATTTGTTATAGTCTACTTTAAAGCGCAACTTAGCTAAAATAATGGCATATTGTTTATTACGAGGTATCTCAGAGTACATCATAGCGTAGTAGGTATAGCATTTTTATAGAATTTTGTTCGCAGCAAAAGTGGCGCTATGTGCATGACGTGAACTGTGGGAGGTTAATACGTATATACATATGGGAGATGTGATATGTGGGCGTGATGTGGGCAGCGTGTCACTTAAGCAGCAGTCGGTGCCTGGATGTGTGTGTGTGTGTGTGTAGGTGAATTTGGTGTGTTACGTGTTAGACGCTGTGCTTAATTATGCCTATGTAGAGCACAACACGGCGTATGCGTGTTTTATTTCATTTATTGCTTGTTTTTTTTTTTTTTTGTTCATTTCTCTTTTTGGCTGCCTAAGCATTAAGTCACTTAAATTAGTGGGCAACTTTCCATTGATTTGTGCTTGCTTTGGTCCCAACCATCGATTTTCTGGCGGACATGTCTCGGACATGTCCTGACCAAGTGCTTGCTGCCAGCCAAGCAAAGCCAAGTCAAGCCAATTAAATTGCCAGTCCTAGCGAAAGTTTTGCAATGCAAATTGCCCAAGGACGTTGTGCGATTTTCTTTTCTTTTCCGTGGTATGAGGAGGTCGTCATAGTGTCTGGTGTGCGGCAAAGCAAAACCAGCTAAAAAGGGCGTACTAAAGCAGGCGTGTCATTTCGACATTCAAGTGTCAATTGGTAATTAGCAATGGGAAAAACGGCTCGTGGTTTATTATTAATAAATTCGCACTTTTTAAAATAGTTCCGCCCACTACCGCCCAGCTGCAACGAGGTGCTAAAATCTTAGATAAACAAACAAACAAATATATTGGAATTTAAATATCATACAATTGAAAATTGCTCATCTGTGGCGAATAGGTATATACATGTGTATTCAGCTATAGCTACAGCTGTATCTGGCACATAATAAATGTATATCTTAAATACCCTCGCACTATGAGGCCTAGCAGATGGCGTTTATACAAACATGTATACGTAGATCTTTTTGCATTTGTTATTAATTATGAATAGCCCAAGGAGATAATTACTGGGTATGCAAGTTTTTGTTTTACTCGTTTCTCTCTATGGCAGCTACTATATATGGAATGTTTTTTAGTAACGATCGATCGATTGCCGACAAATTGCTTGTTGTCAGGGGCAGCGCACTGCAAACGTTTTTACCACCAGCCGAATGCACAATATGTTTGCAGGGCACTTGGAAGTCAGCTAACAGGCAGCTACCAGCTAGCAACAACTACAAAGATACATTTCTATGTCCTTGGCCAAGTACTCAAACAACATTTGTGATACTACATACATACATATATGCTGTATACACTACAATACACATATACATATGTATATATATTTATTTATATGTATATGCATAAACTCTTTTTGCAGGCTTACTCACCTCGTATCCCTTAATCTTCTGCAGCTGCTCGTTCCACACCAAGTATATGAGTGATAAGGGCAGCAATACCAGCGATAAGGCCGTAAATATGAGCAAATATCGCCGAACGCGACAATTTGCGTAGCTCTTGTGAAATTTCATTTAAACACAAGGTTAAATGCATAGGAACTGTTTGTAGTTTAGTTAGCCACTAGCGCGTGCTTGCTCATGATGTTCCCGACTCTTATATTTCTCGAAGTCACATTTATTTTGATATATTTCGCTTAGCTATTGATGTACAACATTTCTAGTTATATTATATATACATGATTATATATATTTTTATAATATTTTTACTTTTTGGCTGTCGCTGCTACGCGACAAATATTTTTGCGTGCAGTTGGCGACAGTTTTTGTACAATTTGTTCATAGCCTTTTTATGCCAGCTCGATGATGTTGCTGTTGTTGCTCTAGCTAAATTTAGTTGTTGTGCTGTAGTATATATTCAGTAAAGATATATATGTATATGGTTAGTACGTGAATGTAACATGCCCAGCATAATTGATGACATATATATATATATATGTATGTATTTATATACATCGACTCAAATATATATGGTATATCAACTGCTGCTGTGCGAAATACTTCCGCCGTATTTATAGCTAAGCAAACAGTAAAAATTGTGTCACTGCAGCAGCAACAAATACGAATAACTGAATTTTCTGTGGGCTCCCTTTTGTTTGGGGGTGTCTTTTATGACTCTTTTTCCTCTTATGCCAGGCCACTCAGGCCAGTGCTGCTGCTGCTGCTGCTCTGGCTGCGGCTGCATGGAGTCAAGATGTCAATTATTGATTTTTACGACTCTAGTTGCGCGGAGAGGGAGTTTTTGTTATTTGGCCATGGCAGGTGCAATGCAATTGCCTAACATCGAGTAGAATTTATAGCTAAATTTTAATTCGTTTATAAGTCCAATAGCAAATATGCAATAATATTTAATGGGCGCGCTGCTTGCGCATTTTTTGCCAACTTTTTAGGCAATGCTCCAAGTTTGGTTTGGCATTTAAATAAAATTCATTCAAATTGGCGCACGACACTTATACACATACACGCGTTTGGAATACACAGCACACACACTCACACACACAGACTCGCACATGCAAACAATCAGAAGCACGCAAACAAAACAAATGTGGGCGCACGCGGCGTATGCGTAACATTATCAATTGCTGGCTTGCTCCGCTCGACTTTCGCCACTATTTGTTGTTGTGATTCGATTGTTTGCCAATTGAAAGACGCTCAATCAATATTAATTGAAGCAGCAACTGTGATTCTAAATGCGCCAAATGCAAAAGTGTATTTTTAAACTAAACACGGCAAAGCACTCGCAATTGGTGGGCGGCCGTGCGAAACTGTTGCGGCCTGCCAGAGGAACGGGTGGAAAGCGAAAGAGACAGAGAGCAGATGTGCCTTAGATTCGCGGAACAGTCAGCAAACATAACACACATAACATAGAACACAGAACACAGAACACAGAACACTGAGCACTGAGCAGAGCCACAAACAACGCACCGTTCCGAGCGACGCACATTTCACGAATGAATTCAAATACGAAATGAGCACAGGCTGCTAATGCCACTGTCGATTGCCCCGACCCCCCGACCACTGTCCCCTCACCCGGACGCCAGCTCAGTCGCCCAATCGACGCTCTCCCATCCGACTGTCAGTTTCAGTTTGAAAATTTTCAGTTTTCGCGCCGGCGTCGCTATGTGGCCGTTCATTGTTTGAGAGCGTTCCGCCTGCTCGAGCAGAGCAGAGGGGGGCGCTGAGTGGGTGCTTCAGATTTGTTTATCGGCGAGCGAGGAGCTCACTCAGTTTTTTATAATGCCACAGGCCAAACACTTTTGTTTATGGCTGAGCAAAAGGCAAGGCCGGCAAGAGCAGCACATGGAAATTGAAATGCGCAGAGAGAACGTACTTGGCTAGCGAGCGCGCAGAGAGCTGAGAGGGTTGCTCCAACAGGAGAGGGTAGTACATAAAGTTCCTAAGCTAAAGTATTCATATAAAAATATTGACTTATATATTTGCACTAATTTTGTTTTGACAACCATTGTATGCAAGTATTCTCATTGCTTATTTTATAAAAAATGTTTATATAAATTCACTTGGGTGATCCTTGAGGTAAGAGAAGTTCCATCTAAATGCATTTATGGAAAGTCTGTGGCTTGTTTAGTACTGTATCAGGGAATGCACATTGGAATCCAGCTTCTTACGGCCTTCGAGGTCCACGAGCTCAATAACCACCAAGCTTTCCAGCAAAACGCCTCCCAGCTTGCGAACCAATTCGCTGGCAGCCGACAACGAGCCACCCGTGGCCAGAAGATCATCCACAATGATGACCTTTTGGCCAGGCTTAATAGCTGTGCGCTGCAGCTCAAAGGTGTCCTATAAATAGAGTATATGTTATAGTCAACATCTAGTGTAAATTTAAGGCTACTTACGGATCCATATTCCAGCTTATATTCTACGGAGACCACATCACCAGCCAGCTTGCCCTTCTTGCGTACCGGTGCGCAGCCCACGCCCAGCTCAGTGGCCAGCAGCATGTTGAAGAGGAAACCACGCGAATCCAGACCCACTATAAGCTCCACGTCTGGATGAGTGGTGCGGATATGCTCCACCAACAAGTCCCGCAGATAAACGCACGCTTTGCCATCAGTCAGAGCCCCGAATATGTCACTGTGAGCCAAATAGAGATAAGAAAGGGGAACACACGTTAATCTATTGATAAGTATTCTAATACAGCCAATAAAATATACACATGTAACTTAACAGCAACTCTATGTACTGATAAAGCTAACTGACCCACCGGAAAACGATGCCCTTCTTAGGGAAGTCCATATATTTGCCGATCTTTGACTTAACATATTCCAATTTATCTGCGCTGCTTATTTCGCTCATGCTTGCAGAATTCTTTTTTATTTTTAATACTCTGTACTCAATAAAGACGGATAAGTATACGAATTTTTACAAATTTAAATTTACACAGCAACTACGTGCGCTCCACTTAGTTTCTTGTTCACTGACACTGAAAGGTCGTGTGGCAAATTGATAAACCAGCTGCTTATCAGCTGTGCAAGGTAGTTGCTAGTGATGGGGCAAAACCAGGGCGGCATAATCGATTACATTTGCACTGGCGGGGTAATTTAAAAGTTTTTGCTTCTTCAGGATAAAAATGAATATAAAAACTCGTTTTTCTAAATATTAATTATATATTTTTTTTGAATACCTATATTATATATAGTTATCGTTATTAGTATATAATTATTAGCATTTATATTATATATAAAAAAATTATATATTTTAAAATAAAAATGCAAAACATTTGGTTGAACATTGTAGAAAATTAATATTTTAATAAAACTAATTTATTTCTATTTATATACTTTTTATTGGTCCGCTTCCACCAATTTTCTTAATCGCATTTATATCTTTCCCATGCACATATCTTTTACAAATCGCAGCAAATAATTCGGATTTGTTCATTTATCAAGACATTTCCGAAGCAAAGAAAGGAAATAAAAGAAATGTGCGGGCATTCGTCGAACATCCTGCAGGTAGAGAAGCCATAGTAAGTTGTACATTCAGTGGTGTTTCCCTTTTCCCTCTCTCTCCTCTCTGTCATTCTATTTGGACAAAGAATGTAATAATTGGAGAAATTTCAATAATTCTTCCAAGAAACGAACACAAGCTCTTTTAGTACTTTGATAACTGCACATTTATCAGTAGTAAAAAGAAAAATAATTGAAAAGAAATTTAAACAATTTACATTCCACTTATCTGAGGCGCGCCAACTGTCACAATAATGCACTCCCTCTCACTCTCTCTCTCTCACACACACTCATTCACAGTCTGTATCGATCGTCGGCTATTTCACTTGCCCGAGCATTCTCTGTCTGGCCTGGCAGGTAAGCCGAGCTGAGAGCGTGAGTGTGTCGTGTCTCCCAATGCCAAGCAGATCTTAAGACCAAGCAGCACAGTTCGAGTCTCAGCGCCAAACGCGACGGTTCATAGCGGAAAATCGTGATCGTATAAATAGCTCGTTCGTCCGTTTGGGGTAACGTTTTTTCAGTGCTATTCGCGACTTTAAATTTATGCACAACAGCAACAATACAATTTAATAACGTTAAACAAAACAAGAAATAATCAACCGGTTCTGCAGGCTAATAATACTTCACACCATAAAAGCGACAACAACAACAAAATAGAATTGTAAGCCACACACGAAAATAAAAAGTTATTCGAGTTTTTTTCATATAAGTGCAAATGTCAATTGAAGGCAACGGCAAAGCTGGAAACTTTGCAGCGATTCCTCTGCTTTTGCAGTTTTGACATTAAGACAAACCGCAAAAAACCAACATCAACATCAGCAGCAGCAAAAACAAAGTTCATGCAACATTAAAACGTGAAAACCTACAAAAAAACAACAACAACAGCAGATATTGAAATATTATTGCAAGCAACATTCACATTTACACACACATACACATACACGCATATACATAGAACACCTTTTAGTGACCATGTTGCTCTGAAGACGTGCGTTTTAAAAACTGCAACAGCAACAACAACAACTGAAACTGCAACAACTGCACTCAGAACAACAAAAACAGCAACAACAAGAGGCACAGCAAAAACCGCGCTGGCAACGTGAAAAACCAGAAAAGAGGCACAATTTTTTTTTGTTTTCGTTCGAAATGTGCCTCTGCAACTGCGCTGTAGCGGCTGCCATAATGGGCGCCCTAAATGCGCCCAATATGGGGCGCGTAATGTTGCAAATCGGCAGAAATATAGCATTTAGGACTGGGCTCTATAAAACTGGAGACTATAGAGTTACGTTTAGGCATTTAGTAAGCGGATTATGTGAAACATTTTTAGAGCAAAGCGCCTAATCGGGAGCTTTACCAACACTGCCGCCTTTTCTGCTTAAAAGTATCCTACTTGGGGCGCTATAATAACGACAATGACTTGATAACAAGATAATAAGTAATATATATATTTATACATATATTCGATAGTAAAATTTACTAAAATTCTGAATTGTTAAAGATCGTGAAGGTTACTTTTATGGAAGCCGGATACATAAATTTACCAACACTACTTGCCTTGAGAACTTTCTACGTCCCTTCTTTTCTTGCTGTCTCTGTCTAAATATGCTTGCCAAACTTTCATCAGAAATTCTTACAAATTTATATACGCTCTTCAGTCTTGCACTGCGGCCCAAGTGCCTGCAATCCGCACCTGTTAAAGGTACTAAAAAAAGAAAAATAACTGAAGAATCTCGGTGTGAGTTACTATTATGTATATACATATGTATGTTGGTCTGGGGCCCACATAGTTGTAGTTGCTTAAGTTGTTGTAGTAGATGTTGTTGTTGCTGGTTATTTGCTAGCTCACTGGGCCGTAGGAATGCGCGAATGTTTGCCAACATTAAAAATCGTGATCTAATAAAAGTAAGCAACTCGGCGACACATTCGCCACAGAGCGAGACACACAGAGGTTGAGTGAGCAGGATAGAGAGCTAGTGATAGAGAGGTAGAGAGAGAGATAGAGAGAGAGTGAGGTATAGAGAATCTACGACGAAGACTACCCACATCTTGTGGCCATAGAAGCTGTTGACTGGGCTTGATTGGTACCTAAATGCTGTTGAATAACTGACCGCGATATTTGTGCACGGTTGCGGGTTCCGTTGCGAAAAAAGAAATCGTCTGCCATAAGCATATGCAAACGCCGATCGAAAGGGGAGAAATGAGCCAGAAAGCAGAAGCAGAAGCAGAGGGAGAAAAGAAACAAATAAAAACATTCTACAACTTTTGTACGCCCTGGCAAAAAAGGCAACAGCAAACTGACAAACTGAAAAAAGAAATAAAACAGCTTTTTGAAGACATTTCCGCATAATTCTGTAGCGTTTCATGTTTTGCTGCGGTTCAGTCTTTCGGAACAAGTTTGGCGCTTCCAGTTAACAGCAACAACAGCAGCAGTAACAACAACAACAACAACAACAACAACTTTGTGTAGTAACTATTCAATGTGTTAATCAAGTTGCCGTCAGACCCTTGGAGCAAGCGTTCCAACTTGTTAAAGGTTCCGCTCAGCTGCTCAGCCCGAAAAACTGAAATGAAATCAGATGAAATTAAGTCAAACATAAACGAGCTTTAATAGACGAACAACAGCGGCGAGCAATGCGGAACAACGCACACGAGTTTTGCTCTAAACATGCGACTTTGCTGCATTTAAGCCGCATTAGCCGGGAAAAGCTGTGAAAAGCCGAGAAAATCTGAAGTGCTAAAGAGCTGAAAATTGAGAAAATGAATTAGCAGCGGGTGCCATCAAAGTCAAGAGCCAAGTGCCAACAGCCAAAAGCCAAGAGCCAAGAGCTGGGAGCTATAACCTCCCTCCACTCTCCCCTTACTGTGAGCCCCCTGCCAGCCACGCCTCTTTTCCGGTTGTTTATGCCTAATGTGAAATTTATGTTGTGCGGCTCTTTCAAAGTAGAAAGTAAATGTGAGCTGACCAAAGTGCCTGCCACATGAGGCACGAGTAGAAAGCTAAGCTGCCACCGAATGTTGCCGCTGCACTTAGCGCATTCTGCGTTCTGCAGCCCAAGTTTGTCAAATTGTTGCAAGACTCATTGTTTTTATGCCACGTTCTGTTCAGCTAGTGCGCTTCAGCCATTACCCAACTGACCTTATTTTATGCCATATGCAATGCTCAGCACTCGCACACACACCCATACACATGCACACTGGTTTATTTTGCTGCTTCTTAGTTTGGCATTTTGGTATTTAGCTTGCGCGCGTTTTACGCGCGTTTTCTGCCGCGTTAGCTGGAATAAACGCTGCGACTGCAACAGACTTGAGCAACAGCATTCGACTTGTGTCGGACTGTTGCTATTGATGCTTAAACTCAAAGCTGATTTCTGATTTCTGTGCATATATGTAGCTGCCAAGTGAAACTTTTGTATGCTCAACTGCCCGCCGGCCGGCAGCAGCAGCAGCAGCAACACATCAACACATCAGCAACATCTCAGCTTCATTGGGCGAACGGATGTAGATACGGCATCTTGGCAAGTTACTCGCCATCTCTACATCTCACCATCTCCATCTCTTCAGCTCAGCCTTTCGTGCTGCGTCATGCCCGTACCACAATACCAGTTACAGTACTCACTCGTCCCGCTGGCTGGTCACTTTCTTTTCTTTCTTTCGTGATCGATGCGAGTGCGCAAAGAATGCATTGAAGTACCCACATATGTATTACAAATGCACTGTGCAAAATGCTATGCAACTAAGTCCATACTTATACATGAAATGGGAGAAGTCAGCTTGGTGTCTAAAATGAACTTTTAGCTAATATCTAACTTAGACAAAAAAGCTTAAGACAACTCTCCGAATTCTTGCTAATTATTCTATTAGCATATGCGCTATATATTTATACATACACATAAAGAAATATCTGTATTGTGTATTTTTATTTTATTTTATTCGTTTTTTTTTTTTATGGTCAGTTAATTCGCACTTCGAATCTGCCTTAACTCACGAGCTGCTCTGACACCTTTACTGCCCTGCCTTCGACACGACTTGGGCAACTTTTTCTCACAGTGTGCGCTGTGCTGGGTGGCTCGCCAATTGGATTTGATTGCCAGTTGAAATTTGCAATTACAGCACCTAGTATCTGTGGCTCGCATAGAGTCAGTCATATATATGCATGCATACTCACGTTCAGTTTTCATTTAAATTGTCCGACGATCGTTCGCAGGAAATTATTATATGTCTGCGGTTTGTCTGCGTCGAGAGTTGGCCCACTGGCGGCGACTCGTTTTCCCAGACTTTTCAGGCGCTACGTGAGTCAATCGCCGTCGCAGTCCAGCTTTTCCATTGTTATTGAAAGCGTTTCGGCCAATCGCTCGATTTGGCCAAGCGCCTTTGTTAACTCACGTGCTGCGGCCCTCAATGGACTGTTAAGCGCTTGGCCATAATATTTATGTTAATGGGTTGGGCCAAGACGCGAGTTGTTCTTGCAGCTGGCAAGCCTTGGCTCGCTCCTCTACTTATTAGCATTATTATGGTAATTGCGTGGACTCGGACGCGTTTTCTTTTCTCTGTGCTTCTCTCTAGCTTAATTGAGTGTCATTTACTTTTTCTCTTTTATTGTTTGCTTTTCATTTAGTTGAATCAACGAAATTTTCGGGGGTCTTAAGCTTACGAAAAACAGAGCCAGTTACACTTTTTCTTTTGTGCTGCTTCCGTAAAATACGAAAAGAAAAAAAATAGAAATAAAAATAAATGTAAAGACCAAAGATAAGAGAAGCATAAAAACATAATAAATTACGAATACGCAATGTTGTCGGTGGGATCTTTTCGGGTTCGTGGCAAGACAATGCACTGAATATTCACTTGCATTTGTTTTTTCAGGCTTTTGTTTTTCGGGTTTTTTCATTTCTTGGAATTTCATTTATTTGATTTTTGAAGTGGCTGCGAGATGAATTGAACAAAAATTTACCACACTTTCAAAATGGAAAACATGTTTATTGATAGGCAGCTCAAAGCCAGTTGATCCGCTCAGTTTTGGCCGTTTGCAACTTTTTTCGCCATGAATCACAGCTAAAATTAGATAGAGTCAAAATTCGTTAGTGACCCTCTCTCTCAGTCCGTCTCTGTCTCTCCCGCTCACTCACTCTCTCTTTCTGTGTCCGTGGCTCGTTAAGCTATTAGTTTATCTCTCTGTTTTTTGCATAACGTCTCTTGATTTGTCTTTTGACATATGATGATTGCCTCGCATTCGACTGGTTTGGCTTCATAGAATTAACTGTTGGTGAAAATGAGGCAATAGCTTGGCCCCCAAAAACAATTATCTTTTCGATTTACATAAGCCCGAAACGATTTGCGTTTGGGATTTCGATTTTTAATTGGCGAAATATTTCGTCTTGATTGAAGTGAAGGGGAAAACGTTTTTTGCTTATGGAAAATGTTGGAAAAAGCATTTTACATTTGATTTCACATGATTCGATCATCGGTAATTTCCTTTTAGGGGCAACTCATTTCAAGCTCCAATTCACTTCTTTAGCGAACAAACGAGGTCAGCAAACTAAAAGCTGGCCAAATTAATAGGCTTACAACTCGACACTAAACACAAAAGCAAATACATGACAAACAAAAACAAGCAACTATTGTTGATTACCCCCAACTGATGCTGCTGCTGCTGCTGTTGTTGTTGCTTTATATTATTGTTAATAACTTTTTACTTATGTCTAAGCGTGCTTAACATTTTTTGAACATCCAACAATAAACAGAGCCAGAGTCAGGCGAAGAAAGACAGAAACCTCGCGCAATGGGCACCAAAATCGAGTACGTCGATACGACGCACCTATACGCTTCCAAATACATTCGCAACTCGAAGGCAATTGGCGTGCTGTGGGCGATCTTCACCATTTGCTATGCGATCATAGGCATTGTGGCCTTTGTCACGCCAGGTGAGTGTGGATTGAGCATGCCTATAGATATAGCTTATACTATGCCCTATTATATATATATGTATGTATATTCATTGCAGAGTGGATTGGCGATCCGGATAGCGACAGTGCCGGCCGTCTGGGCCTCTGGCAGCAGTGCCAACGCGACGAGATCTTCGACAACTGCCGTCGTCGCTGGGAGAACATATTTGCAGTGCCCACGTTTTCGTTTCAGGTGCGTATTTGCTTAGGTTAAAGTAAAGTAGAAGGTAGAAGATGAGGCAGCTGGACGATAAAATGCCCTGTAAATATATACTCTATAGTGGAGCAGCCGAAATTTAAAGGATGTTACTCATTCATTCATGAAATTCAAATTCAAATTGATGCTAGTAAAGTTATCATATCAAATGTATGTATATTACATATGTATGTATATACTTGAATGTTATATAACTATTCGTGTAAGACAGTTGATTACAACTAAAATCATATATATAATGGCAACCAAGGCTAGATTATTACTTAAGAATTCCTAGGCCATTTCTCTATAAAAAACCTTTGACTTGATTTGCTGCTTTTATCGCTTGCAGTTGGCCACATTCTTCATGATCGCGGCTGTTGGGCTGGCCTTGCTGACGATATTCTTTTTGGTTTGTTTGCTGTTCATGAAGTCGACGCGCGTCTTTCACATATGCGGCTGGATGCAAATAATATCAGGTGTGTACATGTACAGGTGTGCGATTGAGTGTGTGTGTGTGTGCTGGGCCCAATTCTCAATTGAGAGTTTCCAGTTTCAATTGCTGACTTCGACGGAAGTCAGTTTGACAAATGATATCGCAACTGCAGCTCATACTTTGAGCACGTTTCGATGTCTGCTGCTGCTGCTGTTGCAATGAAATGTAATCTCATTGCGAAATGCGGCTCAATTTAGAATCGTTGAATTCTTGTGCTTCGATCAGCATTTGTCACGTAGCTTAATATCAATCGACTTTGGTTTTTATCGCTTTCAGCGCTCTGCATGATTGTGGCCTGCGCTGCGTTTCCCTTTGGCTGGAATTCGGATGATTTCCGCAAGATCTGTGGCCCGGAGGCGAACCGATTCGAGTTGGGCCTCTGCAGCATACGCTGGGCCTATCCGTTGGCCATCATTGGCTGTGTGGACGGCGTAGTTCTGGCCACATTGGCGTTCATATTGGCTACGCGACATGTGCGCCTGCAGCCGGATCCCATCTATCAGAATTCTCTGTACAAAGGTTTGCACCAAATACCCATTCATATTTGTTTGGCATTTTATTCAAGTTTCGTATATTGCAGGTGAAATCAATAATGCGTATTTGACGGACGCTATTAGCTTGGCGGGCTCTCGCAAGTCGAATCCACATATCACGGGCCTCAATTTGCAGCCCATTTTGCTGGTGGCGCCGCCTAATGAGGACAGCATCTCACAGTTCTCCCGCTATCACTGAGAAACGCTCAGTTTTCTTGCCACCGCAGATTCAAATTTTTAACAGGAAGTCAACCGTTTAGGTTGTTGCACTGGAAAAGTCGAAAATAACCGTTTATCATGTGCACAAACCTTGACGCAGTGACTGTAGAAAGCTGGGCTGTACGAAACGTTAACCGGTTTGCACTGCTTACCTTTAGTGGGGAACCAAACCTGGGGAGAGAAGCGCTGTCAAGTGTTCGCAAGCCAAGCAAAACTATACAGCTGGAACTGCTTACACTTAGCATATATACAAACCACTAGCTGGGCACTTCGCTAGGAGTTCGCTTCGTTAAGATTTGAATTTGCTTTTTGGCTGTTACAATTTAATATGATATCTTGGTAATATAATGCGTGTGTGTGCTGTGTGCCTGTGTGTGAGACTGACTGACTGAGTGTTTAGCCTCAACTTAAGTTTAAACTAATTTAAATGTATTTGTGTATAGATTGTGCCTAACTTGATACGTTTACTCTATAGATTACGATCGCTGCCTGTAAATTATATGCCCGTAAATATAAATATAATGTACAAAAATATATATTGAACATAAATATGATTGTTTTTCGCCTATTCGTATTCAACCGCAATCACAGCCCCAATTATGCCATCATCATCAAGCCATAAACATCAAGAGCACAAAGGAGAAGAAGAAGAAGGTCAGCAACTTTTCTGCGCATTTGGACAAACAAATATCAAATTATGCTCCTTGTAATGCCTCTGCTCTTGCCTCTGCCTCGGCTTTGCACAACTCTCGGCAAGCAGGCGACGCACATAAAAACCAATAACGGCCAACTTAGCGCCCAATTTGTTTGTATGCCACGCCTCCCGCTCATCGCCCATCCGCCTCATCGTCCAATAACCATTTGGCACATACTTTTCCAATAAAGTATTTACAGCAAACTTTTTGCCTGCTGGCAATTGAAATATTCCGCGCAAAGATGAAATCAAATAGAGCCAAAACACGACTACTTCGAGCGGGCGTAACTGACTGCGCAATACTCTGTCTAACACAAATCAGTTGAAGTTTTAGTTGTAACGTTGACTGACAAATGACTATAAAACTCTGGCTGTGCCCTGTAGCTTTCAACGCACGTTTGTGCGTGAGGGCGTGGCTCAAACTGTTTAAACTGTGACCGTTAGCTATGTCACATCGCATTTTGAGTATTTGTCAATTCCTAAGTGGGCGTGCCCAAAGTGACTACACACCTGCTCTGATGCAAGTCTCTCCAAGTCTTAAGCTGATATGCCTCACTCACTGGCTGAACAGAGCATAATGAGAGAAAAAGCACAGCTCTTGGTGCCTGATGTTGCTGTTGTAGCTGCCAGCCTGGGCACGTTTTAATATTCTTGTATAATTCATAAGCAATTCCATCAACGCTCTCCAAATGCGGCCTAAGTGGCCGAGCAGCTGGCGCCAAATGCTCAGCTCGACACGGCTCAGCCCACCACCGAACCACCGAACCACCGAGTCGCTGTCCCATTTCGATGCTCGCTGGCATTTTATTTACTTCAGCCATTTCTTGGCTGCTCTAGCCGCCTGCCCTCCTGGCTGCAGCATATGGTTCCACGTTTCTGGGCCATTTCGACACGCATTCGATACGTGGCCCAGGGCCCAGGATGAAGATCTCTGAGGGAGTCGCTTTGGATTTTGATGTGCCAATTGTTTTTATTCGATTTGATGTGCGGCGTCATAAATGAGTTTTTAACTTTTGCCTGTTGTCCTTGAGGTGTGGGTGTCAATGTGACGGTGGGCGTGGCAGCTGTGGCAACATGTGCCATGGCTTATTAGCTGGGCACTTGGACACAATTTTTAAGCGCTTCGAAGTGTTTGTGAAAATGTGCCAAAATAGCGCAGCAAATAAACAACAACAACAACAACAGTTAGAGAAACATTTTCATTGCTCTTGTGTAATTGCAAAATAAAAAGAAGAAGCTAAACTGGACATAATTTGAGCTTTGGCGTTGCAGTTAAGCCAACGTGCCACGCCCACACAACGCGCGCGCCTACATACACATTTCAGTTACATTACACCGAGCAGCAGCAACACGAGCAGCAACAGCAAAGTCAAAGGGTCGTTGGGCGGGGCCAAATGAATTGCGCCTTTAAGGTTTTCGTTTAAGTGAAATGTCAGTTGCAGAAATTGAATCGAAAATTGTAAAATTGGTTTTGTATAAACATTTTTGCCAAATGAAATGAAATGAAAATGCTTTTGTTATAGCCGCCCGAAAAGCAGTTCCTGATGCCAGCGGCCCCTCTGGCCGTCTCCCCGCTCCTCTTGGCCCTGGCTGCCAGCCAAGTTCTCCTCTTTTTTTGGGTTTTTTTTTTCTTTTTTGTTCTTTCAGCTTTCTTTCTTCAGTTTTGAGCAGCGAACACATCATATTTCTTGTGCCTGTTTTTTATTTCTTGTGCAAAACAAAGGGCCTGCCTTACCCTTGCCTCTCCCACACACACACACACACACACATAATTTATAGCACATGCGAGCCCTGTGTGTGAGTGTGTGTTGTTTGGAAGCAAACGTAGCTCGCAGAATTGTGCAAAAGTCAAAACTGCGTCAATCAAAAGCTACAGCAGAACTAGCTAAAGGCTGCTCCATGGGGCATATATGGCCAGCAGTTGCTCTGCAGATCTTATCTTATCTTACACGAGGATTTGAGGAAATTTTTTTGAAGTTTATTGAAATGTTCTTTCTAAATCACAAATTAAAGTACCTACATACATTAAGTAAGCAAAGATTCCATTTCTAGATCTCGAAACACTTCTACTGCTTGCTTTCTCTATTCGCCCCGCTGTCACTTCAGCTGTTCATACCCTCTCTTCTTACACATTCTTACAGGCTATGCTCAACGAATTGCCTTGGCTTTGCAGTTACTACTAAATAACGTCTGGCATTTTATGCTCCCTGCAGTTCCATACCATTCGAGTGCTGTCTGTGATTTATCAGCTCTAGAAAGCAACAGCATGGGGAATGCCAGATAAAAAACGTTGTACATTTTATTGCATATACAAAAAATCGTATAAAAATGGTGCGTAAGAGCCGCTGCCTAAAAATATATATCTCAATATGCGTATACGTAATACTAGTTAAATGTAAATTAGAATTAGGAATTTAATTTAGCCGAGCTAACTAACTTAGCGTAAAACTAGAAACGAGCTTGCATTTTTCACATTGTAAAAATGACTAGTGAATTATTTCCGTCGCTTAAACAAGTTGCGAATTACAACTATATACAGTTATATCTAGATCTAACGATATGTGAATATATATGCACATATGCACATATATATATATGTATATAGATATGTATATGTATAACTAGCAAACCCGATTTGGCATTTGGTTGCATGAAAAATGAACTGTGAAATTGCTGCACTCAGCTGTGCAAATGAAGTGAATCGACTAAAGAATACCCTGTAACAACGAAACCGTCTTGTTTTGCTTATCCTTTTGGCAGCTGTTTATGCCACGATTTTGGCCAGAATGTGACTAAAGCTAATAAACAGGCATACACACAAACACACACACATACATACATACATACACTCACACACACACACACTTACAGATTACATATATGTTAATTATAGCTAAACTTCCTGAATGCCCGCCGCACAGTCAATTATCGGCTGGACATCGTCCCTGTCTCGCTCCGGATCGAGGCAGGCGGTCATGGCATGCGGCATATGGGTGCGGAGCAGCGCATAGCTGTCCCGCTGGTGGATCATCAGCTTGTGCTGCTGATGGGCAATGAAGCTGCTGCCGCGTCGCAGCGAGCGCCTGCCCATCTCGAGTATCTCGAGCGAGGGATCGCGTGCGAACACAAAGTTCTGATAGGCACGCACAAAGCTGAAAATGACAGCCGAGGCGCCGCCCACGATCATCAGATAGGAGCCAATGGGCACCGCGTGCGGCGCTATGACCGTGGCCAGGTACAGCCAGCCCTTGATGGCGGGCGTCAGCTCCGAGATGCCCTGCAAAACGAATGAGCACATATGAAACGATAATATCGGACCAGAGCTCATGGAGAGCAGCTAGGTGACCCACCTCCTCGAGCCACATGACGGGGAACACAAAGTCACGAAAATCACGCACTGGATGCACGTCCTTGGCGCGCGTTACCTTCAGATTGAGCTGAATGCGCACCTTGCCCTCCAGCGGCACTCCAAGTTTCTAGACATTAGAGACTCGACATTAGAATCAGGAAGCATGTCTAGAATAGCAGTTCAGGGAGATCTCTTACCGGTTGTATTTTGAAGTAGGTTTCGTGCTTTTCGCGCTCCGGCTGGAGACCTTCGACGGCGTCGAGCAGCTGCGGATCTGATTCGTAGAAATGCGGGTTGGAGATGTAGACAGGCGCGCCATACTGGCATGGACTGATATTCTGCAGGCCCTGCACAGCCTCGTAGTCGTTCGTGTCGTAGCACTTGTTCTCCGGATTGTTCCGCGAATCGCCGTACGAGTTGTTTGGCAGCCGATAGAGATCGGCGGCCAGGCCGTCCTTCTCCACACGCTCCACGTACCTGAGTGGAATGATGCGGCACAGATCCTTGTCGTAGATGTGCACCACATCCGATTTGGTGATGTCGCGCGGCGGAAAGAACGAGCCCTCCGAGCCGGCAATGCTCGTGCAGGGCTCCTCGTTCCAGTGCGGCAGGTGATCCATGCCGTTCAGTGAGTCAATGTAGCCAAACTGTTCCATGCCCTGGTAGCCCGTCTTGATATTGGACACCTCGGTCAGTGTGCCATTCCGGCCCAGCAGCAGGCCCATTCTCTCCATGGGCCGCATGTGCTTCGGATAGAATCTGTGCGCCAGGCTGACCAGCGCATCATCGTAGCCAAACACCAGCTGGTCCGCGGTCACATTGATGAAGGGCTTCAGCTTGGCGGCCGTCAACACTATCGATATCGTCTTGGACAGCAGATAGCCCAGCTTGGGGCTCAGACTTGTGAGGGTCTGCGAGGGATAGAAACAGAGAGATAGAGAGGGAGGGATAGACTGTGAGTGGGGCGCACTTACCAGCATTGGTATGTTGGGCGTGACTATGGGCGTATTCTTATCGACACTCAATTCAGGAACAAATTGTAAGATTTTCTTATGCTGATATGACACCGTGTAGTTGTTCTCGTGGAACTTGACGTTCACCTTCTCCATGTCCTCCCTGCAAAGATGGGCCAGATTGTTACACATTGTAAATCGTATCTCGTATGCGCGCAGCACGTGCCACGCTCAAAGTCAGGGACATTGGCCATAAAAACCAAAAACCAAAATCAAAACCCAAAATAATAAAAGAAAAACCAAAAAAGTTCCACAACGGCCAGCGGCCCAGCCCAGCTGAATGTCAAGTTCTTTTTTCGCGTTCGTCGGTGAAATGTGGCCAAAGAAACGTAACGAGAAAACAACAAATACAATGCAGCAGCAGCAGCAACAACAACAACAAGAAACCAAATGAGATGACAAACGCTTTGGCGTTTTTGTGGCGGTTTCAGCAGCTACCGAAACGGCATTGTCATTTGATGTTGATTTAAAGTGTTTG